CACAGGCAAGAATTCACACTTCCAGTCCAGAGATCTTCCAACCCCCAGCCTGCCAAAGCAGCCCGGAAGCAGAAAGCCCCCGAACCAAACATTGCTATACAATATTAATCATTTCTGGGCTGTCAAACCGTGACGTCACCTGATATGCCAGCTTGGCAGCTGAGCAGAGCAGTAGACAAAACATGAAGAAAATAATGTGTGTGGCTGTTGTTTTCGTGGTGTGTATCTAAAACAATTTGACATAACATTACACATTAAGACAAATATTATGGTTACTTTTACCGTCATAATAACATTCGTCCCTGACGGCAGACTTTCTGCCTTAACCAACCTTGCATTTAACAGCCTGAGGAGACATCCTGGCTGCACTAAACATTCCTAGACGACAAATCTCTGAATATCTATCTAACTAAAAAATAACCTAACATAAGAAAATACCTAACACCAGGGAACACCCTGTGGCAGAGACTGGTCCACCCGAAGGACAATACACCCAGACACAAACAGAGTGATGTGGTGTATGCAATTAAGTGCAGTCAGGAGTGCAACGACTTGTACATTGGTGAAACTAAGCAGCCGCTTCATAAACGCATGGCTCAACATAGGAGGGCCAACTCCAGTGGACCAGAGTCAGCAGTCCACCTCCACCAGAAGGAGAAAGGACACTCTTTTGAGGACAGTGAAGTCTAGATCCTCTCCAGAGAACATCGCTGGTTTGAGAGAGGTGTTAAGGAAGCTATTTTCATAAAAATAGAACACCCCTCACTAAATAGGGGTGGTGGACTAAGACACAACTTGTCTTCCATCTACAACCCAGTTTTGAGATCTCTGCCCAAACATGCCCACCAGGACAATAGGCGTCGGTTGACAGGGGAGGATCCAAAGACAGGTAACGACCCTCACTGATACTGGGCTGTAACGACTCAGTCGTTAATGGGCAGTGTTGGCCTTCTAAGGACTGAAACCACACCGAGGGGGATAAATATCTCCGACTCAACACCAGTCAGTCAGAACTGATGAAGCCTCTTGGATGAGAGGTGAAACGTCTTTGATCTAGATATCCAAGTCCAGTTGATTTCCAAGGTTATTTTGATTGCGGTTTACTATGACCTGGATGACTGAGAATCTGTACAGATATACTGCAAAGATAAGGAAATAACTAACAATTAATTCCATTACTGATGAGTGCATGATGTTGCGTTTGCGTGTGCAAACATGCCAGATGTCTATTCTCTATGTAAGCATAACATGAACGAGACTGACCAGACTTTCCAGGTGAAGAGTGAAAGCAAAGCAACCAATACAATATGTAAATTACAGTATATTAGTGTGATGTGGAAACATGGATCCTCCAGTGCACATGTATTGACAATAGCCTTTTCAGGAGACATTATATGTCTAGTACTTTTGAAATGAAAACATTTCTATGTCTATTCTCTATGTAAGCATAACATGAATGAGCATTATATTGTATGTGCCTATGAATGTGTGTGTATAGATGAATGTCTGCACAGGTTTATGCAGCACTGCTGTCTGCTTTGTTAAGTCATTTGAACAGGAAACGATTGAACTGTATATCCTTTGCACAACTTGTTAAAACACTTTCCATTTTTTTCCATGTCTGACATCACGGTCTGTGTGGCTGTGTGTGTGAGAGAGAGAAAGAGAGAGAGTGAGAGAGACATGGTGAAAACACTTTCCTTCCAGGAGAGAGAAATTGAGCTGGGGGATGGGATGGCATCTGTGTTTCTCCTCTTCATTCACATGTTTAATCCCATCAACACTCCTATCACCCCCTTTTCCTAATCTCCTTTCCTGTCTGTTCACCTCTCCTTCATTCTCACATCTCTTCATCTTCCTCTCAAATGATTCTTTTTTTCTAATTTCCACAGACATTAAATAACATTTTTCTCCTCTCTCTCATTTATTTTCATCCTCCAAATTTTGCCTTCCAGCCTCTCTTTTGCTACCTGTACCCTCGTCCTCCTCCTATCTTGCTGCTACAATCTGTTTCTGTATCATTGGGAGTTAGCAGGTCAAGCATAAAGGCTAATCTAAATTTCATTCACTCTGTCACTAGAGTGGAGGGGCAGAGATTGCCTCTTTTTTCAACACTCACTTTCTTTTTTCACAGTCTATTCTGGTTTACTTCTTTAGCTTCTCTATCTACTGTGTATAACACATGCTGTTGCTGCCATGAGACTGAAGGGCACCTTGTCAAAAGGCAGGTCAGTGGGACTGAAAGCTTGCTTCGATATTGCCACATGAATGTGTCAGTTTGGTTAGGTTTCAGCTCTTGTACAGGTAATACAAACCTTTTCATAAACACACAGAGGGATATGTCACTTTAATTAAGATTTGTGGCATAATGAAGTCAGAATTCCATGTCATTGTTCATTTTTATTTGGAACTGGGGGCACTACTTTTCCTGTCCAGAGCTTTAAGCTTACTACAGATCTTTAAATTGTCTGGACAAAGTTCCTTCTATGGTTCATAGGAGGATACAGTACATTTTAATATTTTTTGCTGTTCATTCACACTACTGCGGTTTTGAAGGGACAACAATAAAGACAGTGTGAGTGATGCTGACTTTTTCAAACTCTATTTCCTGTTGTCCAAGAGCAAGGAAAGAGACTGCTGAGCTGCAAGAGCTGGTGGCTGGAATGTGACATTGTGGTTCTGACTGCACAAAACCAAATGACTGTGGGGGCAAAAGACAAAGAGTGAGACAAGCCAAGGTCATGGTGTATTGGTCTGGATGTGGATAACACCTTTATAAATTTAGTTAGAATGTGAATGAACTTACTAATGACGATTTGTCAAGACGCCTCACTCCCTGTCTGTCAAATTCTCTGCACTCTCCAATATTTTAAAACTAAATTTAAAGTACACTCATATATTTGATTTAAGAAATAGAAGGTTCAAATATAATTCTCTCTTATCACAATAGAGAAATAGGTAGCTGTAATAAGAAGGAAAAAAAGGGAAAACAGCTCTTCACATGTTTTGTGGTAAGTACAGATTATGAGTTAAAACA